AATACATTTCTCTTTGTTGAAGCCATCCACTTGTGGTATTTCTGTTACAGCAGCACTAGGTAACTAAGACAGCAAGAAAGGCCATATAAAAGTGATCCATCATACTGCAGGCCACCCCCTGGCTTTTCTAGCCATGGTTCTTTCATACTTGGAGGATATTTCCCCCTCCCAATCATTTTACCAGTTCAAAACAGTCATTGACTGTTATTAACAATCGACTAATTGTTAATTCAATAGGGCAAAGAGTCCTCAGGGTGAGGTTACTTAGGTACCAGCCATTCAGGTCTCCTGCAGGTGTCCATCGATCTGGTCAGGTTCTCCAAAAGTCATCTCAGCTTCACTCTTCCTGGTGTCTGATAAAATTTAACTGAGAGAAGATTATTCCCTTGCTCTGAGCCTCACGATGTATCAGCATAGCAAAACTTTTAAGGGACTTTAGATTTGACCACAGTACTCCAGTCCAGCAGTGCTTCCCCCTTAGTCCACTCTTTCACAGTCACAGTTTGTAACTCTACAATTACAGTTTTTACAGGCACAATTAACCCTATTAACAATTAACACTCACAACTTAATCATATAATCCTACCAGCATCTTCCCCTACCCTGTCTTCTGCAGACCTATCAGGAAAAGAGGAATCTATTCAGTGGGGATCCTCCCTTGTCCCCCTCATTTTGAGTGTATGCACACCCATGAAAACGTGTAAGCCAGCCACTTCATGCCTTTATCTTCCCCATTTTAGATAGCCAATGTTTAAATTTTCTGTCCCTACCAAACCAGTACTATGAGAAGACAAGCATGTTCCTTGGTCTTGAAGAATCTTCTGTTCTGGTTGAAACTTAGAGCATCTGCATCCATAAACAAAGTCCAGTCCAGAGCAAGCCATCAAATTGCAGCAGTCTACACCAGCTCACAGTGTCAAACATCTTTCTCTTCATTTGGTTTGGTTCTGGTCAGCTCATCCCTAGCACCTGTGGGCTAGGTCAGTGTGTACCAGCCATAGTCTTGGGAGTCCACACAACTCCTTGCACTTCAGACCAGCCAGCCCCTTCTCTCTCTCTCATTCCTAGCCCCTGTGGGCTAGGTCAGTGAGCACCACCCATAGGCTTAGGAGTCCACACAACTCCCTGTACTTCAGACCAGCCAGCTCCCTCTCTCTCTCTCTCTCTCTCTCTCTCTCTCTCTTCCTTAGCCCCTGTGAGATAGGTCAATGGGTGCCTATGGAACATGTCCAAACATAGCCTGTCTCTTCATAGCTGCACCTCTTCAACTTCCACTCATCTCGTGCTCCCAGGTGGTCAACTCAAGCGAGGATACCAGGCTGTCTACTCACTGACTCTCTTTAATTTCCAGTCCTGAAGGGGGTTCTTCTCTTTCTTTTTTTTTTATTATTATTATTTTTTAAAATTGTGCTTTAGGTAAAAGTTTACAGCTCAAGTTAATTTATCATTCAAAAATTTATACACATATTGTTTTGTGACATTGGCTGCAATCCCCACAATGTGACAGCACGCTCCCCTTTCCACCCTGGGTTCCCTGTATCCATTTGTCCAGTTCCTGTCCCTTCCTGCCTTCTCATCCTGCTTTTGGACAGAAGCTGCCTATTTGGTCTCCTATATTTGAATGAACTAAGAAGCACGTTCCTCAAGTGTATTATTTTTTGTTTTATAAGCCTGTCTAATCTTTGTCTGGAAAGTGGGCTTCAGGAATATTTTAAGTTATGGGTTAACAGAACGTCTGGGGGCCATTGTTTCAGGAGTTCCTCCAGTCTCTGTCAGACCATTAAGTCTGGCCTTTTTATGTGAATTTCAATTCTGTTCTACATTTTTCGCCTGTTTTGTCTGGGACTCTCTCTTGTGTTCCCTGTCAGGGTGGTCATTGGTGGTAGCCGGGCACCATCCAGTTTTTCTGGTCTCAGGCTGCTGGAGTCTCTGGTTCACTTGGTCCTTTAGTCCTTTGGGTTAGTATTTTCCTTGTGTCTTTGGTTTTCTTCATTTCCTTTGCTCTGAGTGGGATGGGTCCAATAGATGTATCTTAAATGGCCACTTGCAAGCTTTTAAGACCCCAGATGCTACTCACCAAAGTGGGATGTAGAACATTTTCTTAATAAAGTATGTTATGCCAATTGACCTAGATGTCCCCTGAAACTATGGTCCCCAGGCCCTAGCCCCAGCTACTCGGTCCCTCAAAGCGTTGGGATGTGTTTAGGAAACTTCTTTGCTTTTGCATTGGTCCAGTTATGCAGACTTCCCCTGTATTGTGTATTGTCCTTTCCCTTCACTTACGTTGACACTTGTCTACTATCTAGTTAGTGATTCCCCCTCCCTCTCCCTCCTCACCTGGTAACTATCAAAGAATGATTTTTTCTGTGTGTAAACCTTTTCTTGAGTTCGTATAATAGTGTTCTCATACAATATTTGTCCTTTTGTGACTGACTTCTTTCACTCAGAATAATGCCTTCCAGATTCATCCATGTTGTGAGACGTTTCACAGATTCATCATTGTTCTTTATCATTGCATAGTAGTCCATTGTGTGTATGTACCATAATTTGTTTATCCATTCATCTGTTGATGAGCATTTAGGTTGTTTCCATCTTTTTGCTATTGTGAATAGTGCTGTAATGAACATGGGTGTGCATATGGTTGTTGGCGTCTTTGCAGCTCTCACATCCTGTCTCCCTGTGGTCAGATCAGCTACTAGGTGTGCGAGCCCAGGAGTCTGTTCACTGTTCTTGAGTGGGTGCAGTTATTCAGGGCACAGGTGTCTGGGTCACTGGTCACTGAATCTGTGGTGCACTCTCACCTACAGTTCTAGGCAGGCAGGGCTGCGTGGGGGTGTTCAGAGCAGGTATAGGTCTCTGGTTGCAGTGGTGTGCAATGTGTGTGGCAAGGCAAGGTGCCACTGGCTGCCCCTGGTTGTCGGGATGGAGGGCATGTCCCTCTCTGCTAGAGCACATAGTGGTGGGGGGTAGTGCAGCCAGGGATTGAGAGGCATCAGTAATTCTCAGACCCCTATTGTGTGTGGCTAGATTTAGTGGATGGTATTGCCAGCCTTCAGCCTCCTGGTGTGGGTTGGTGCAGTCCCTTCTTGAGGGGCAGGGTGGTGTTGAATGTCATGAATCTGCAACTCCCCCTTGGTGCTGCATGTGAAAATGGGCGTCAGGTGTATGCCCTGCCCATTTTATGCTAATAAGGACATGTGACGTTGAATTGGCCCACAAGGCACTGGGTGGGCGTGAAGGGCACTGCATGTCTTTGGAACCCCTATGCCAGTGGCTGGGCAAAGGGGCAGGGCTTCCCAACCTGCCCTTAGTTCCTGGCTTAGGGGGTGTGGTGTTTTTGAACACCAAGGGACTGGTGTCGAAGCAGGGTGAGATATGAGTGAGGGGAAGAGAATGCTTTTCTGTTGTGAAGCTCTGATGGGGGAGGGGTTATTATGCCAGCATGGAGGGTGGGTTGGGAGCTTGCGTTTAACTTTTACAGGTCTGGTGTCATTCCTTTTTGGCTCTGGATGTGCGTCCAGATTCAGTGCTGCTTGGCTGCACCAGATGTGGTGGTCCTTGGCTTGGAATGTTGCTGCTTGCCTCAGTCCGTGAGTGCTATGCTGACTCAGCTAGGAGGACACCGGTGATCCCGGGATCTGTAGTTCCCTGTTTCTGCTGCTTTTGAATTGTCTCTCCTTCCCCCTGCCGCTCAGTCCGATTCTTCAGCTTTGTCTTTGATGATTAAGATTCCTAGATTGTTGTATTTATTCAGTTCACTTGTTTTTTCGGGTCTTTGTTGTATAAGGCGGGTGACAGGAAAGGTATGATGATTCCGCCATCTTGACCCTGCCTCCTCAGTCTGTTTCTTCAACTCTGCATTTGATATTCTAGATCCAAGGTCTTTATTTGTATCTGTTTTAGTTTTTTGAGTATTTTTTGTAGGGAGTTATCATGGAGCGTCTAACTAAGCCACCATCTTAACCGGCACCCTGAGGCTATTTGGCTTTGTAGGGATAAAAGTTTTGTTTTGTGGGCCTAGATTGCATTTTTAGTCTTAGCCAATTATTAACAAAATGTACCATGTCGGTTAATAGTGGAAACAGGCAAGAGATTCTAGATGGCTTAGTGCCAGCTAAGGATTTGGAAACACCATTCAGAGTGCATTGTTATTAATGGTACATGTGCCAGTTGTGTCCTATAGGAAGACAATAAGTTTATTTCACATTCTACCACGGTTTACAAAGGACCTTAGTTGTTGTTAGAGGCCCCAAAGAAAAGGAAAACTGATGTTTGGAGTTTTGCTCACTAAGAATATGGCCTCAGATTCCCACTATTTAAATATTGACCTCGCCATTAGCTGCTTGTCACTTAATAGAAATGTTTACATATTCTTTTCTTTATATTATTTCATTTAGATTGAATAAAGTATCAGAAAATATCCTCAGGGATAGACTGGATGTTATGATATAATCTTTTGCAATTTTGATTTCCTTTGATGATGAATCATCCTGCTACAGTTGAATAAAATAAGCAATTACTTGGAAATGATCTTTAACATGCCTCAAGCCTAATATTACTTTGATTTTTCTGTTTAAGGAGGCCTCGCTGCACAGTGGTTAAGAGCTTGGCTTCTAACCAAAAGGTCAGCAGTTCGAATCCACCAGTTGCTCCTTGGTAAACCTATGGGGCAGTTCTACTCTATTCTATAGGGTCACAATGAGTCAGAATCAACTCGATGGCAATGAGTTTTGTTTTTTTTTTTTTTTCCATTAACTGCTTGTCACTTAATAGAAATGTTCACATATTTTTTTCTTATATTATTTCATTTAGATTGAATAAAGTATCAGAAAATATCATCAGGGAAAATAGACCGGATGTTATGATATAAACTTTCGTAATTTTGGTTTCCTTTAATCATGAGTCATCTTGCTGTGGTTGAATAAAATAAGCAATTACTTGGAAATGGTCTTTAACATTCCTCGAGTCTAATATTACAGTGATTTCCTTGTTTAAAATAGGAACATTTAAATCCAGCTGGGCTTTTCTTAATGATGAAAATCCTCTTGAAAGGTGAAACAGCTGATGAAGGACTCCTTGAAGGTATCATTTCTGTGTGTGAAATTTCACAATTTTGAAATATTACCACCAATTTGTTGAATATAGTATCTTTTTTAGTATATTAACAATAATTATAATTTCAGGCTGGCTGAGAGAAAACTGATCACATACGAAAGTCAGAGATTGTCAGCCAGGAAGAAAGAGACAAAGAAGAGAGAATAGTAGGCAAATTTTAAAAGTGGTTAAAAAAAAAAGTGAATAAAGCTGATCAGTTTTCTTTTAGTCTAGTAGGGAATTGCAGCTTCCCAACCTTTCTTAAGTTGTCTACCAACATGAAGAAAGATTACCTACTGATGGAAAAGTCTTTGGAATAGTGTGCTTTTTGTAATTACTGGTGTAAACAGTGGTGTTTTTTTTCAGACTTAACAAGAGACTACAACGTACACTTCACAAAATAAACATCTTCATATACAGCTGTGGGTTATGGGGCAATTCACCTAACTTATATGTGCTTCCGTTCCTTCCTCTTTAAAAGGGTGTTCTTTTAAATTTTATTGTGCCTCAGGTGAAAGTTTACAGCACAAATTAGTTTCTCATTAAAAAATTTATACACAAATTGTTTTGTGACATTGGTTGCAATCCCCACAATGTATCAGCACTCTCTCCCTTGTCCTTTACACCCCGGGTTCCGTGTCCACACGTCCAGTTTTCCTGTCCCTTCCTGCCTTCTTAGCTTTGCTTTTGGGCAGGTCTTGTGTACTTGACTGAACTCAGAAGCATGTTCCTCGTGTGTGTTATTGTTTGTTTTATAGGCCTGTCTAATCTTTGGCTGAAAGAGTGGCTTCAATTCTGAGTTAGCAGGGTATCTGGGGGCCATCTTCTTGGGGATTCCTTCAGTCTCTGTCAGATGAGTAAGTCTGGTCTATTTTGTTAATTTGAATTTTGTTCTACATTTTTCTCTCACTCTTTCTTGGACTGTCTATTGTGATCCCTCTCAGAGCCCATAAGTGGTGGTAGCCAGGCACCATCTAGTTCTTCTGGGCTCAAGCTAGTTGTAGAGGCTATGGTTCATGTGGTCCGTTAGTCCTTTGGGCTAATATTATCCTTTGTTTTTGGTTTTCTTCATTCTCCTTTGCTCCGGATGATATGGGACCAAGAGATGTATCTTAGATGGCCACTTGCAAGCTTTTAAGACCCCAGACACTGCTCACCAAAGTAGGCTGTAAAACATTTTCTTTATGAACTATATTATGCCAATTGACCTAGATATCCCCTGAGACTACAGTCCCCAGCCCTCAACCCCGGTAACTCAGTCCCTCAAGGTGTTTGTATGTGTCTAGGAATCTTCTATAACTTTACCTTGGTCAAGTTGTGCTGACTTTCCCTATATTCTGTGTTGTTTTTCTGTTCACAAAAGTTAACACTTATCTGCCATCTACTTAATGATTTCTTCTCCCCAGCCCTCCCCTCCCTGTCTTCCAAATTTTCTGACATAGATGAGTGAGTGCTTCCAGCGTTACATCTGTTTGATGAAGCATCTCAATTGGTATTCCATTAATTCCTGGAGCTGTGTTTTTCCGCAATGCCTTCAGTGCAGCTTGGACTTCTTCCTTCAGTACCATCAGTTCTTGATCATATGTTACCTCCTGAAATGCTTGAACACCGACCAATTTTTTTGGTATAGTTACTCTGTGTATTCCTTTCATCTTCTATTGATGCCTTCCTGCATCGTTCAACATTTTGCCCATGGAATCCTTCAGTATCACAACTCAAGGTTGGATTTTTTTCTTCAGTTCTTTCAGCTTGAGAAACGCTGAGCATGTTCTTTACTTTTGACTTTTTTACTCTAGATCTTTGCACATTTCATTTGTCTTCTCGAGCCGCCCTTCGAAATTTTCTGTTCACCTCTTGTACTTCATCATTTCTTCTATCTGCTTTAGCTACTCTCTGTTCAAAAGCAAGTTTTAGAGTCTCTTCTGTCAACCATTTTTGTCTTTTCTTTCTTTCCTATCTTTTTAATAATCTTTTGCATTCTTCATGTATGATGTCCTTGATGTCATCCCACAACTCATCTGGTCTGTGGTCATTGCATTCAGTATGTCAAATCTATTCTTGAGATGGACTCTAAATTCAGGTGAGATATACTGAAGTTTGTACTTTGGTTCTCATGGATGCGTTTTTATTGCCTGCAGCTTTATCTTGAACTTGCATATGAGCAATTGGTGGTCTGTTCTACAGTCGGTCCCTGGCCTTGTTCTGACTGATGGTATTGAGCTTCTCCATCATCTCTTTCCGCAGATGTAGTTGATTTGATTCCTATGAATTCCATCTGGTGAGTTCCACGTGTATAGTTGCTGTTTATGTTGTTGAAAAAAGGTATTTCCAATGAAGAAGTCGTTGGTCTTGAAAAATTCTTTCATGGGATCTCCAGTGTAGTTTCTATCACCGAGGCCGTATTTTCCAACTACCAATCCTTCTTCTTTGCTTCCAGCTTTCACATTCCGATCACCAGTAATTATCAATGCATCTTGACTGCATGTTTCATCAATTTCAGACTGCTGAAATTGGTAGAAATGTTCAGTTTCTTCATCTTTGTCCTTAGTGGTTGCTGTGTAAATTTGAATAATAGTCGTATTAACTGGTCTTCCTTGTAGGCATATGGCTATTATCCTCTCACTGACAGCGTTGTACTTCAGGATAGATCTTGAAATGTTCTTTTTGACAATAAATGCCATGCTATTACTCTTCAATTTGACCTTCCAGGCATAATAGACCATGTGATTGTCTGATTCAAAATTGCCAGTAGCAGTCCATTTCAGCTCACTAATGCCTAGGATATCGATCTTTATACATTCCTTTTTCATTTTTGATGACTTCCAATTTTCCTAGATTCATTCTTTGTACATTCCACATTCCAATTATTAATGGATGTTTGGAGCTTTTTCTTATCACTTTGAGTCATTCTGCATCAGCAAATGAAGGTCCTGAATGCTTTACTCCCTCCACATTGTTAATGTTGACTCTACTTTGAGGAGGCAGCACTTCCACAGTTGTATTTTGAGTGCCTTCCTACCTGAGGCGTTCTGGCACTATATCAGATATTGTTCTGTTGCTATTTATAAGGTTTTCACTGGCCAATTTTTTTAGAAGTAGATTGCCTGATCCTTCTTCATAGTCTGTCTTAGTATGGAAGCTTGGCTGAAACCTGTCCATGATGGTAACCCATCTGGTATTTGAAATACCAGTGGCATAGCTTCCAGCATTACAGCAACATGCAAGCCACCACGGTACAACAAACTGACAGATGAGTGGCTAACTGCCTGCAGGAAGAAGGAGAGTTAGGAACAGGAGAAGGAAACAGAATGTTTTGCTAATTGCCTCCATGAACAACTACCTCCTTTGCCGTGAGACCAGAAGTGGATGGTGCCTGGCTGACATTACTGAATATTTTGATCAGGGATTCTATAGAAGAATCCTGATGATAAGGGAGAAAGTGCAGAACAAAATTTCAAGTTCTCATTGACTGCAGATTTTCTGGAGCCATGGAGGCTGGATGAACCCCTGAAACTATTGCCCTGTGATTATCTTTAAACCTTAAACCTAGAATATCCCCTGAAGTCTTCTTAAAACCAAACAATAGTTTAGCTTAATTCATAAAGAATGTCTGCCTTGAGCATTATGTTCTATTAAGAACTATGAATATGGATCAAAGTGACAACTTTCAAAAGAATAAATAGGAACCTCTAGGGAGCAGTGAGTTTATATTAATGGGAGAAGAACAACTCAGAAAAGGAGAGTGAGAATGGTTGCACAACTCAAAGAATGTAATCAATGTCACTGAATTGTACATGTAGAAACTGTTGAATTGGTGTACTTTTTGATGTGCATATACTCAATAACAACAACAAAATAAATTTTGAAAGATTTTAGAAAAGGGCTTTGACAAATTGGTAGACAAAATATGAAAAACATTTAGTAAGTAGATTTTGAATAGAGGAAAATTAATGAAAATAGCTAAGCTTCCTCAAATATGAAACTGATATAATTATTCCATTTTTTTCTTTTTATTAGCTGTCTTGGTAATACTCCGTCTTGACATGTCTTTAGACTTCTGTCTGAGCATTGCTAAACTGCTGATGGATCATGAAAGGTACGGAAGAATTGATTTTCCTTCCTCTACACACTAACATTTTCCTAAGGTTTCTGTTTATATATATTTACTCTATTAAGGTCTATACTCAGAGAGCACAATATTTACCACTATACTGATCAAATCAGAAGATGGAACTGCTTGCTTAATGACTGTCTTAGTCTGGTTTCTCCAAAGGAGTTAAACTAGTGATATATATATTTATGTATGTGTATATATATATATGTATATTTATAAATATAGAGATATTTATTTATATATGTGTCATATATGTGTATGTGTGTATATGTATATATATATATATACATAAAGAGAGATTTACTTCAAGGGAATGACTCACACAATTGTGGGTCTGGTAAGTTCCAAATCTGTAGGTCAGTGGCAAGCTGGAGATTTCTGGTGGCTAACAAGATTGCGGGAGCTGGTGAATCCAAAATCTGCAGGTCAGGTGGCAAGATGGAGAATTCTGCAGGCTTCCATCTCAGGAACCGGAGGGTTTAGAGAGAGAGAGAGCTTTTCCAGAGCATCCATTTATGTACTAGAGGCAGGACACACTCCTAAGGAATCTTCGCTCTCAACTGATTGAGTGATCATATCACTTCATGTCATGGAAAGTGATTACATTATATTACATTATGGAAAAGCAACCAGTCCAGTGTCTGCCAAACCACTGAGAATCATAGCCTAACCAAGTTGACACATAGCAATAGCAATAATCATCACAATGACTTTAAATGACAGTAAAGTTTATTTTAAGATTTATATTAGCATTAATAAAATAAAATGAAAATGGATTAAGATAGTCAAATTTCTGTAAAACATGAGTTAGGCTAGGTTAACCTGCAGGCCAGTGTCATTTGGAACAGGAAGACAAAAGCAAGTGTACTTTTGTAAGTAATATACCTCTCTGGCTCTACCTTCGCTGGATCATTATAGTCAAAAAGGACCTTAAAGTTCTAGACCAGGAGTTCTCAAACTTTGATGAACAACTGGGGAATAAGCACATAAAAAGATGCTCAACATCATTAGCCACCAGTGAAATGCAAACCCAAACCATGGTGAGATACCACTTCACACCCACTAGGATGGCTATATATATATATCTATGTGTGTGTATGTGTGTATATATATATATATATGTATGTATAACAGATAATAACAGGTGTTGGTGAGGATGTGGAGAAATTGAACCCTCCTATATTGCTGGCAGGAACATAAAATGATGCAGCTGCTTTGGAAAACAGTCTGGAAGTTCCCCAGTAAGTTATTATAGAGTTACCATAGGGCTTGGCAATTGTACTCATAGGTATACACCCAAGAAGATTGAAAACATGTTCACACAAACAATTGTACACAAATGTTCATAGCAGCATTATTCATGATAGACATAAAGTGGAAATAGCTCAAATGTCCATCAGCTGATGAATGGATATATAAAATGGGGTATATCTATATAATGGAATATTATACAGCCATAAAAAGGAACGAAGTACTGATTCATGCAACATTATGGATGAACCTTGAAGACATTATGCTAAGTGAAAGAATCCAGTCACAAAAGACTACATACTGTATAATTCAATTTACATGAAATGTCCAGAATAAGCAAATTTATAGACAGACAGTAGATTAGTGGTTGGCTAGGGCTGGGGGGTTTGAATGAAAATGAGAAGGGATGATGTCATGGATTGAATTATGTCCCCCGTCAACTTGGCTAGGCCATGATTCCCAGTATTGTGTTTTTGTCCTCCATTTTTTGATCTGATGTAATTATCCTGCATTTTATGACGTGTTGTAAATCGTAACCTTTATATGTTAATGGGAGCCCTAATAGGGCAGTGGTTCAGAGCTATGGCTGCTAACCAAAAGTTTGCCAGTTCAAATCCACCAGATGCTCCTTGGAAACCTTAGGGGGCAGTTCTACTCTGTCCTATAGGGTTACTATGAGTCAGGTTAGGTTAGATTATATGTTAATAAGGCAGGATCAGTATGGGGTGTATCTTGAGTCACACCCTTACTCAAGTCATACCCTTGCTTGAGTCACACCTTTTATCTTACAAAAGTTAAAAGGAGAGAGAAGGAAGCAGAGAGGGGAGGGAGCTCACTACCACCAATATAGAAGAGCTAGGAGCAGAGCGCATCTTTTGGACCTGGTATCCCTGCCCTGAGAACCTCCTAGACCCAGGGGAAGGTTGATGTGAAAACACATGGATATCTCCAAGGAATGCTAGGCCCACAGTTGTTAAAAGGAGACAAAGACCTTCCCCCAGAGCCAACATAGAGAGAAAGACTTCCCCTAGAGCTGGCACCCTGAATTCAGACTTCTAGCCTCCTAAATGGAGCCCTGGTGGTGTAGTGGTTAAGAGCTCAGCTGCTGACCAAAAGGTCAGCAGTCTGAATCCTCCAGCTGCTCCTTGGAAACCCTATGGGGCAGTTCTACTCTGTCCTATAGGGTTGCTATGAGTCAGAATCAACTCGACAGCAAATGGTTAAGCCTCCTAGAGTGTGAGAGAATAAATTTCTGTTTGTTAAAGCCATCCACTTGTGGTATTTCTGTTATAATAGCACTAGATAACTAAGACAGATGGCTAATGGGTATGGAGTTTCTTTTTGGGGTGATGAAAATGTTCTACAATTGATTGTGGTGATGGTGCACAACTCTGGCAATATACTAAAAACCATTGAATTACACTATAAATGGGTAAACTGTATATTATGTGAATTATATCTCGATATTACTGTTATAAAAAAATCACTAGGCCGTGCAATATTTGTCTTTTTGTGATTGATTTATTTCACTCAGCATTATGTCTTCAAGGTCCATATATATATTTGTTATTAGATTCCTAGTGGATATATCGTTTATAAAGATACTCTCCCAGTCCGTAGCTTCTCTTTTCATTTTTTTGGAAAAGTCTTTTGATAGACAAAAGGTATTAATTTTTCTCAAGTCCCATTTATTTATATTGTCTTTTGCTGTTTGTGCTTTTGTTATTATATTAGATAATCCATTGTTGAAAGCCAAGACCAACAGCTTTGCACCTGGATTTTCTTCTAAGCATTTTATAGTTTTAGTTTTCATGTTAAGATCTTTAATCCACTTTGAATTTGTTTTTGTGTATAGTATGAGTCATGGATCCTGTTTAATTTTTCTACATGTGGAAATCCAATTTTCCAAACACCATTTATTGAAGAGACTCTTCTTTCCCAGTTGAATGTACTTAGTATCCTTGTCAAACACAGTGGGCCATACTCTATTTGCCTGGAGCAGCAGAGAAAGAAGGAGAGTCAGGAATAGGAGGGGAATATGGAGTTTGTGGCTAATTGCCTCCATGAGCAACTGCCACCTTTGCCATGAGACCAGAAGAATCATATGGTGTCTTTCTACCATTGCTGAACATTTTGATCGAGGATTCTATAGATAAATCCTGATCAAAAGGGGGAAATGCAAAACATAATTTCAAATTCCCATGGACTCCATACTTTCTGGAGCCATGGAGGGTGGATGAACCACAAAACTGTTCCTCTGAGATAATCTTTAAAACTTATACCAAAAATATCCCCTGAAGTCTTCTTAAAATCAAAGAATAATTTAGCTTAACTAGTAAAAAATGTCTGCTTTGAGCATTATGCTCTTTTAAAAGCTGTCTATTTGGAATAAAATTGACAACAGTAACTCCAAAGATTACGTAGGAACCTTAGGGGGGCAGTGAGTGTATGTTAATAGGGGAGAAACAACCCAGAAAAGGAATGTGAGAGTGGTTGCACAACTTGAAAAATGTAATCAATGTCACCGAATTGTACATGTAGAAGCTGTTGAATTGGTATCTTTTCTTGTGTATATTCTCAACAACAACAAAATAAATTTGTGATAGTTAAGATTGTGTGTCACCTTGGCTGGGCCATTATTCTCAGTGTTTTGGCAGTTGTATAATGTTGTGATCTCTTCCCTGTTGAGATTTGATATGTTATCACCCTCATGATGGGATCTGCTGTGAGTAGCCAATCAGTGAACAGGAGTTTCCTTGGGTGTGTGGCCTGCATCCAAATATAAGCAGACATTCTGGCAAGGCTTGGGGGGCTTTTGCTTGTTCTGGATTCTGCAGCTGGCTCCTGTTCATCTGACCTCCAGTTCTTGGGACTTGAACTAGCAGCTTACCTGTGATCTTGCCTGCCAATCTTGGGATTTGTAAATCTTCACAGCCTGTGAGAAAGAGCTCTGCTCTCCGACTTGCCGATCTTGGGGTTTTCCAGCCTGTTTGGCTTCGTGAATCAGGAGAAACCTCTATCCTGATCCACATGCTTGGGACATTTCAGCCCCTACAAACATGTGAGCCATTTTCTTGATGTAAATCTCTCTCTATATATATTTATATGCTTTACTGGTTTTGCTTCTCTAGAGAACACAGCCTAAGATAAAATGTAAAAAAAAAAAAGCAGTGGACCATAGATGTGTGGGTTTATTTCTCTCAATTCTATTTCATTTGTCTGTGTGTCTATTGTTATACCAGTACCAGGCTGTTTTGATTACTGTAGGTGTATATTTTGAGATCAGTAAATTTCAGTCTTCCTACTTTGTTGTTCACATCCATTGTCAAAAAGAACATTTCAATATCTATCCTGAAGTACAATGCTGTCAGTGATGGGAAAATATCCATCTGCCTACTAGGAAGACCAGTTAATTCGACTAGTATTCAAATTTACACACCAACCACTAAGGCCAAGGATGAAGAAATTGAAGTTTTTACCAACTTCTGCAGTCTGAAATTGATCGAATATGCAATCAAGATAGATTGATAACTACTGATGATTGGAATGTGAAAGTTGGAAACAAAGAAGGATCAGTAGTTCGAAAATACGACCTTGGTGACAGAAATGATGCCAGAAATTGCATGATAGAATTTAGCAAAACCAATGACTAATTCATCGCAAATATCTTTTTTCACAACATAGATGGCAAGTATACATGTGGATCTCGCTGAATGGAATACACAGGAATC